TGTCTGAACTATCCAGCAGATTTTAAACTGTTACCTATGTCACCATTATAATGCCAGGCTTGTCTGAACTATCCAGCAGATTTTTAACTGTTACCTATGTCACCATTATAATGCCAGGCTTGTCTGAACTATCCAGCAGATTTTTAACTGTTACCAGGGTTCCCGCTGTCGCTCGCCAATGTCGCCAAATGCAACAAAATATGAATTTTGGCGCATAAAATCTTTAATTGGCGAATTTTCTGGCGCAAATGTAAAATAAAAGCATCCGACAACTAGTACACTTACATATCATAAGCAGCCACGTCAATTACATAAGTGGCCCTAATGTGAAAGGTCACCCGCGATTAGATTGTTTATCAAACTGTATCATCAATTATGTCATCAATTGCACGGTGCATATCCATATTGGTACCCTCTTTGCGAAATCTGCTGAAACGGTACCCAATTTGCACATGCACAGGTCATTCTCTGCTAAAAACAAACTGCGATGGATAACAATCCAGTAAAATTTCATTGTAATAAGTTAAGGAGGTTTATTACATGCTTTTCGGTGGTTTATAGAAATATATCAGTGATATAAAACTGGTAATTTCACTGTTTGAAACAGTGAAATTACCACTTTGATAATTTCACTGTTTTGAATTTAAACCCCTTACGTTGTTTCAGTGAAATACCAGCGTACACAGTACTGGGTACCATATTAATGCCGTGACGTCGTAAATGACGTCACGTTGTATTATTATTTGGCGCACTTTTCATTCAGTGATAGGTTTAATGCCTTTTTACAACGTTTTTTTGCATATAATAAAAAGAAAATTTATTTAGTTCAGTGTAAGATCGAAATATATTTCACCTTGTGAACACCAAAAGTTCATATTTCACTCGTGGCTGCGCCACTCGTGAAATATACCTTTTGGTGCTCACTCAGTGAAATATATTCCGATCTTACACTGAACTAAACAAATATCCTCTATATAACACTTAGAAAAACATGTATACCACGGAAAACTAGAATGTTTTATTTATGTGCTGATTTGTCATGTGCCCGTTTTTCATGTACTGCAACTTCACAATAAGCTACAAAAAATCGAAAAGTAGGGTGATTTTATGAATTTGACATTTATTTTTGACAATATACTGCCATTTGTCCGATGATGATATGTAAATGAACATATTAAATATGTATGATGAATATATAATGAAGCCACAGGTTCATTGCAGCCCGAATAGTATGTCGCGGTGATGGACGAGGCAAGACTTGTCAATTTTTTGTAGCTTATTGTGAAGTTGCTGTACATGAAAAACGGACACATGACAAATCAACACATAAATAAAACATTCTAGTGTTCCCTGGTATACATGTTTTCTAAGTTTCATACCTCCTTTACTAATTACAATGAAATTTTACTGGATTGTTATCTATCGCTGGTTTGTTTTTAGCAGAGAAAGACCTGTGCATGTGCAAATAGGGTACCGTTTCAGCAGATTCCGCAAAGAGGGTACCAATATGGATATGCACCGTGAATTGTGTGACACTTCAGGAACATGACAAGATAAAAGTGTCAATGTGTTAATTGGTACAATTTACATCTTTAATCCTCTGACTTGGAGCACTGATAATTACACATGTGGTCAAATGGTGTTAGAAATGAAAGACCGTCCGTGATGTTATTTATGTTGTCACATGCATTCATTCAAATGGCATTTGAAAACCACATAATACTATGTCTATATTTTAGATAATAAACATGTGCAGCTGTAATAAAATGAAACATTATAAATATGTGTTTGTAATCTTAATGATATATAACTGCTAAAGATAGGCATGTCTCTCTTGCAGAATTACTGGCTCCATATTGGCTCCCACTTTTTCTGATTGGCGAATTTGGTGGCGCCAACTCATTTTGACCCAGAGGGAACCCTGTGTTACCTATGTCATTATTATAATGCCAAGCTTGTCTGAACTGCCCAGCAGATTTTAAACTGTTACCTATGTCACCATTATAATGCCAGGCTTGTCTGAACTATCCAGCAGATTTTGAACTGTTACCTATGTCATTATTATAATGCCAGGCTTGTCTGAACTATCCAGCAGATTTTGAACTGTTACCTATGTCATTATTATAATGCCAGGCTTGTCTGAACTATCCAGCAGATTTTAAACTGTTACCTATGTCATGCCAGGCTTGTCTGAACTATCCAGCAGATTTTTAACTGTTACCTATGTCATGCCAGGCTTGTCTGAACTATCCAGCAGATTTTAAACTGTTACCTATGTCATGCCAGGCTTGTTTGAACTATCCAGCAGATTTTTAACTGTTACCTATGTCATGCCAGGCTTGTCTGAACTATCCAGCAGATTTTTAACTGTTACCTATGTCATTATTAAAATGCCAGGCTTTTTTTTAAAAACTTTGCAGCAGTCTGACCAGACTTTTTACTAGTCCATTTCACAAGTTAAGGTAGAAATAAGTTTTAACAGATTTAACAAAGTTGAATGGTTAAAGTTCCATTATATTATTATAACTTGTGCACAGCAAGATTACAAGTGCTTTTCTAAAATTTCCTTTGCTCTGATACAAGTTTATTCTAATTATTTTTCTTCAAAAATATGTTTATCATAATAACCCTTAACCCATAACCCCACATATCCTGCTCTGAACTCAGACCTATAAATTATAACTTCAAGGATCTTATTACAAAAATCCTAAACAGGGTTCTCGGGGACGCTTATTTTGGCGTCCCGGTACGCATGTTTATTGCCGCTGGACGCAAATATTTCAGAGCAAGGATTCCATGTACGCTTAATTTTGCCTGGGGACGCATAAACATTACCGATTGTTTACAACCACAAGTCAGCGCGTGTCAGTCTATAGGTAGGCGGTCCTATGCACATCGACCCGTGAAGCGATTAGCCAATCAGCGATAACGCTTTCGATCATTATCACGCAATAGAGATCAGACTAATGTATACACGCGCTGTAGGTGTAATTACCAGATATAACACAAGGTGATAATTTTATATATTTGATCAACAGTTAATTGGAAATTAGCAAATTTTACTGACAAAAGGATAAAATATCGACTATTTACGCCCCAAGTTTAAAGACTGTTTTCTCAAATTACAAATGAGTGCAATTTTGAATTATTGTCGAATATTTTCGGCATTTTCTAGGCAAAATTTTGCATTCATTTCATTCTTGCAAAATGTTCGTTTGCTTTCGTTTCATTCTTGCAAAAAAGAATTTAAGATATTGTGCCGAAATTCCAGAACAACAAACAACAATACACAAACGATTTTCTTTGATATATTCTATCCGGCTAAAACTGAGCTAGGGATCTAGCATGACACATTGTCTCCTTATGTTCAACATTTGTGCCAGATTCTTTCAAAATCCCTTGATGCAGAGTGATGGACCAGACAAGATTTTCTAAGTGCTGACCTTGGAACTTAGGACTTAGGTCTTGCACATGACACACCAGCTTATTAAGCTTCACATTCATACCATATTATTTCAAAATCCCTTGATGCATGACCCAGTATGGACCGGAATAGGTTTTTGAAAACACATAATGACTCACACAAGGACTGACATACAGGGGAACACAATAGGCCACCTTGCAGTTAATATGATGGGAGCTTTAAATTAACTTGAATCACAGAAGGCAGTTCTTATTAAATATTTAAAAGTTTTTTCTACAAGAAAAGAGTTCAATCAGCACAACTGAGGTAAAATTGCCTACAAACATTGATATTCAAATCTTGTAAATTAGGTATTTTATGTGATTCTTAGCTCAGTCTGAATTAGAAGCGTTTGGGGCATTATGTAAAATCAACATGGAAATTCTGGAAGAACAAAGTGAATTATCTAAAATTTTGCAAACAAGTCACTGGTCCAGACCTACATCAAATGGTTGACAAATCTTGAAAAAAGTATTTCCAGCCTTTATGTCAAAAAGCCCTTATAAAAAGAGCTATCAGTAGGACAGCATGCTCAGTACTTTTGAAAGTAAACAGAGCCTAGGTAAAATAGGAATTGACAAAAAGAAACATTTCATTAGAAAAATAATTGACATAAAATTGAGTCTTGGAAAATTAATAATTTTCTACATTCGCAAAGTGCCATATTTTATTAAGAGTTACAGGCCTAATGACAGTAACCTCCAATTTTGATCCAGAAAACATGTACATCACTAAGTTTTAAGTGTAAACTGTCAGTAGTTTTGAAGATTGATACTGCATGTAAAACTTTAACTAAAAAATCTTTTAAGTTCACAACGGACTATAATTCTGTCAAAATGTATGCCAAGAGTTATGGGCTCTGGAAAGTAACCAACTGTCACAGTCATGTATTAAAATTAAAGGGTATACTTCAGTAGTTTTGAAGTTTAATGTTGCATGTATGGCCATATTGCAGTCAATTTCCATGCCAGAGTTACAGGCCTGGGAAAGTGACCTCCAATCGTGCTCCCAAAGACATGTATCTAATAAAGTAATTAAATTGTTATGAAGTTAAACTGGTTAACACTTTCTTAGCTTCTTCTTATGATGTATTGGGATACACATTATAAACGCTGTATCATGGTTATTAACTTAAGTATCATATCCCGAGGGAGCATATCATTACCAGTGTTTTTATTTCTATATATAACTACTACCCTAAAACGGTACTGTTCCCAATAGAAAATAGACATTAAAATTCCCAATTTCCAATTTTTCATTCCCAAAATGGCTGTTCAAAATTCCCACAAGGCCAAGTGATTTCTCTGAAATCATTTGAATCCAACATATTCATATAAATCACCACTCAATAGTTCTACCTGGACAGTGGAAGCTGTTAGCTATCTTTATTCATGATGACTAATCTTAATTGTAGCTGAAAAAATGCTTTAAAAAATTCCCAATTTAAGTCAAAATAACGCATTTTTTTCCCAATCAGTCTGGTACCGGCACCATTCCCAAAGTAGAGAAAAAAAACACTGATTACACAAAGGTTTACCTGTAATGGCTCCTCAAGAACACCACTACATATAGGACATATCAGTTCTTCGTCAACATCCCCCTCAAATCTGTGCACCTCGTAACCCATCCTCCCTCATGTATCATGCCTGTAACGAAATAAAAATTCTTTGCTCAATAACAAAACAAAATAGAATAAAATAAAAGTTGCCAAAAAAAACAACAAGTAAATTCAATTAATTAATATCCACCACTCATTACATTAATCACATTTTTTTAACAGCTTCTTAGTACATGTATTATGAAACACAAATATTAACAAAGCCGAAAGGTAAATTTGGTCCCAAGTAAAAGGGATACTCAAAGACTGCAAACATGGGCTTTTCCAATCAAATTCCAGGGTACATCTTACAACTTTATATTAATGACATAACATTGTTGATTTTCCAACAGTTCATGAGTAAATGTTATTACTATATGTAAGTAATTTTTATTGTAATTAATATTAAATAGACTTAGAAATTGCACTGATGATCTTATCTTGTAATATTATAGAGCTGATGGTTCAGCTACAGCAATGTGAATTTGGCTTCTTTTTTTTAAAGAGTGAACCATACTCAATAGTTTGAATGCTTAGATCATTTTCTTTATCTAATTTATTCACCAGCATGTACTGCCCTAAGGGCAGCTAAATGCATTTAAGCTGAATATATAAAAAAATATGTATATATATGACTATTTTGAATATGATAACGATCTATTTATAAGCATTATTTAAAAAATAAATGCTTGACTAAGCTTATTTTCTCTGCATTGGATAACAATTACATGTAAGAAAACAGTTGACAGAAAAAAAAGGATTTTTTTCCCTCCAGGTAGAATTAATTAAGAATGACTTTTTAGTAATTTTCAATGTTCAAGAAGATCATGATTTGGAGTTTTCTCGGGATCTTAGCTTAATCTGTGTCAAAATTGGCATTTCTTTAGAGAAAGCATGTAACGCCATCCAACACTGTCTACGTGATTTTGGAAAATCGACTTTCATAAATTTTTGCTGAGGTGCGCATAAATTTATCAGCATTTAACTGTTAGCTTTGGGCATTTCACCCTGTAACCATGATGTGGGCGACATTACAATATGATGTCTACAGGTTAAAATCAATCATGATCAGGATAGTTTATATCCAGTCGCTGTTGAATGAAATTAATTATTTTGTTACCTTGACCTACATTTTTTTCTTTTAAGTCCATCGCACTTTTAAGTTTATATTTACTTGTGTAAAACACCAACATAGAAGTGCATTGTTTACATCAATAATCAATTAATTAGGTAAAATAGCATGAGATGAGTTAATCTGGCATAGACATTGCACAAGTACCACCAAACCCTGTAAAAATCATTAAATTGTCATACAATTATGCCCGCCTCGGACTCATTTTAATATACGTGGTCTTTCGCTTTCAGATACAACCTTACAGGTATAGGCGTAGTAAATAGCGACACTCTGATTGTGTAATGATAATTGTTAGTCCTGACATTGGGGATTCCAACTTTGTTCATGACATCGCCCGGTAAATATTACTTGAGACTCTATATTTTTTTCGGCAAATTTGACCTTAGATATATTGGTTGAATAAAACTGGATTAGATACATGGCGCAGTTTTCACCTGAATTGCCCCATTTGGTTTATACACCCATTGTCAGTCTCTATATGAACTACGTAAATAACCGAGGTATATTGAGCGAAAAAGTCGAGTTGTTTCCCTTATCTTCAAGTAAAATCAATATCTTGAATGCTAAAACAATGCAAATTTAGCCGTTTTTAAACCGCTAGTTTGGGGCGAGTTAATGTCCGATTTTAAAATTCATTACACCAATGAAAACCTTGTAATCTTAGCCTTGTCTCCGTATATCAGGGCTCATCCGGAAGGGCGATTCAGGCGAAAACTTCGCCGTGTATATTCCAATTTCGCTCTTCCGATTGATCAAAGAGAAGTCAACATCGCCGATAAAATCTTAATTCCCAAATAGTAATTACTTAGCGATGTAAAGAGCAGAGATTGTATCCGCCCATATGACGACCGCTAATTATCATTATCCAATCACAGCGTCGCTTTATACTACCCTTCTACCTACTTGAGACTCTATATTTTTTCGGCAAATTTGACCTTAGATATATTGGTTGAATAAAATTGGATTAGATATGTGGCGCAGTTTTCACCTGAATTGCCCCATTTGGTTTATACATCCATTGACAGTCTCTTTATGAACTACGTAAATAACCGAGGTATATTGAGCAAAAAAGTACGAGTTGTTTCCCTTATCTTCAAGTAAAATCAATATCTTAAATGCTAAAACAATGCAAATTTAGCCGTTTTTAAACCGCTAGTTTGGGGCGAGTTAATGTCTTGATTTTAAAATTCATTACACCAATGAAAACCTTGTGATCTTAGCCTTGTCTCCGTATATCAGGGCTCATCCGGAAGGGCGATTCAGGCGAAAACTTCGCCGTGTATATTCCAATTTCGCTCTTCCGATTGATCAAAGAGAAGTCAACATCGCCGATAAAATCTTAATTCCCAAATAGTAATTACTTAGCGATGTAAAGAGCAGAGATTGTATCCGCCCATATGACGACCGCTAATTATCATTATCCAATCACAGCGTCGCTTTATACTACCCTTCTACCTGTAAGCGAAGCGATAGACCGCCTACTCTAAACAGTAAATAATAAGAGCATCGGCCCGAAACGGTATAATTGTGTGATAGTTTTGCGAGTTTAATACGGGATTTGGCGATAATTATAAATTGTTTTTTCCCCCGATTATCTAAACAAGTGCAATCTTCCCTAATTGATATACACGATGCACTTCGATGGTGGGTTTTTAACCCGAGTAAAGGCGATGTGCAATGGATTTTTCACGGCTATCACAAAACCGTTAGTCAATTAAAAATAATCAATTTCATTAATGATCAGCGACCAGATTAAAAACTTAATCATAGTATTTAATGATTTCAGTCTGTTAACATCAATTTTTACTGTAAAATTGTTATGTTGCTCACGTCATGGCTACAAGGCGAAATGCCGAAACCGAGCAGTAAGAAAGTTACTGATTCTGATAGTTACACCTACGCGAAAATTGAAGAAAGCCAATTCGCAAAAATCTTGCGATTGGTATGTTGTAGACAGTAGGGGTGTTTGGCATTGTTCTCTTTGTAGAAATGCCAAATTTGACACAGTTTACACACGTGGGCAAGACATCCCGGCGTAACTACATATCGGTCGTATATCATGTCACGTGTATATAATAACAACAACATTTGTCTGGAAAGAAGTGTTCTTATTGTTTCAAAATAAATTCGTAAATATGACGCTCAGATTAAGATTTATCAATATTGTAAATTTTAAAAAGCATTATTTATAAAGATATTACCGAATTTAACATTTCATGAAAATAAAGGGAGGTAATTAGAAATTAATTTTCTACAATTTCTCAGTCAAATTTTTCACTAAGAAATGAATGTATGTAATTTTAGTGATCAAATATAATGTGCACAAATGTTTGCAGTACATATTTTACATATTCTTTGATGTTTGAAAATTGTTTTATAAGCATAATTATATGCATATAAATGTGACATTACAACATTAACGATTTTGAGAGAAATTTCTGTTACCAGAACAGAATAGAACAGATATTATTAATCAATATCCAATGTGACTTCATCTTCTTTTAAAGGTGAGGAAAGTAAAGTAAAAAATATGAAATTGATTTTATCATCATATCTTTTCTTACACATTATTATCAACAAATGTACATGAAAATATATAAACACATATTTAGAGAAAGCTTATAAATAGCTGATCAATAGATATCAAAAATAATTTTTTATTCATATTTGCAGCTCAAAAACATTTAGATGCAATTGCCTGATCTACTACTAAATAATTCATCTACTTTTAATTAATACTACTATTAATTAATACTACTATTAATTAATTAATAAACTGGAGAAATATTATAAGTGATGTTAATTGTGTTTATATTATAATTAAAGGATGTATAGCCATGCATGTTCCCAGCAAACACCCGACGTTGACACAACGTTGGATCAATGTTGAAAATTGGTCGCGACGTCAGCGACCTTCACACAACGTCAAACCAACGTTGAAACCCCGACGTCTAATAAACGTTTCATTTTGACGTCGACTCGACGTCGGACTTTGGTCGATAATCTGACAATTGGTAAATTTTATTTATAAAGCCAATCTATATAAATATAAGCATAAACAGTGAGAATTTTAAGTTTCTTTAGAAAGGGAAAATTATAAATTTATTTGCCTAATCAAAACAACAACAGTGTCACGTGGGTGGCTACCGTACGATATTCGATAGGTGGCGCTCGGTAAACGGATAGCCGCAGATCAGTATAATATATATTTGCTCTATTTTCTTTTTAATAATAACTTATCTCCTCGAATTAGTCAAAGAAGTGTTTAAATAATTAACAATGAAGTTGTAATCATTTTTGTGGGCTTCATTTTATAGTGGTAAATAATCTAGTAAATTCGAATTGGAGTCTTATCGGATTTGAAATTCAATTGTATTGGCGGACAAAAACGACGGGTTGACAGACAAAGTTGTATATTCCAAACAAATAGAAAAAGGTAGGCAAACGTTATTCATTGTTTTTAATGCTTATTTACCACATGTTTGCATGGATTCGACGGTTAATTGATCATTGTAAAGTTTGACTGGTAAAGCTTAAAGTCACATGATTTCGCGAGATAAATAGTTTCGTTTCCTCGTTAGAGCACTTTATTATTTGCTTTAGAACAATTTGTATTATCGGATCATTTTCCCACACTATATCGCCATTGCCAAATTATTTTTTGCATAATCAATGGTATGAAATATACTAGCAATTGAAATAAATAAAAGGTTAAATGCAGTACGTTAATTAGACTCTATTATATAAAATTTCCTCTTATTTCTTATCAACATGAATTTCGCTTATATGAGGGGCCAGTCATTTACACATGTATAAGATAACTGTAGGGTCTCAAGCACAGTTTGATTTTGATGTCTGTGTAGTTGTTTAACTACAGGTTGTTAAATTGAAGTATTTTACCCATGAGCATACCA